GGGTAAAAAAATCTATTAACAAATACGATTAAAAGAAATTGACTTAAAATATTTTCAAGTTTGTAACTTCACCGCTAGAGGACGCAACCGCTATAGTTTTACAGAAAATTGTCGGTTTTTCGAAATTTCGCTTACCTATATAACCTAAGCTGAAAATATATTTTTTAGATACAATGTTAAACCCTTCACAAGTTTTGTTTGAACTTTTTTTTTGTTATTACCATAGCAACGTCAGTATGAAGGACGCTATCTTGAAATTTTTAAATAAACAGTTTAATAAATAACTTCTAAATGCCTTAATCGATTTCAATAAACGATGGCTCATTTTAAAGAACTATTAATAAAATGTATATTTATGATACAGGAATAAAAATATTATTTTCCTGCACAACAGTACACAATGCTAATTAGAAAGTTTTGTAATTGTCTCCGTTTACTAAATAAATGCAAGGATATAGGTTTTTTTGATAGACCATTCATTATGGAAAACAAATACACAAACCGGAGGTCGATATCTTTTTTCTTTTTCAAGTTATTGTGAAGTTGTGCTAGAACATCCTCCTTTATTTAGTTCTCTAAATAACATTGACATAATCCAAGCCAAAATTGTAAAACTATACCAATCTTGTCCTTAAAATGAATTATTGCTTTATTTTGATAACTGCAATATTTCATTTTTTATTATTTCCAAATATCTAAGTAGTATAAAGATTATTGTTTCCATAATGAAGGAGGCTTTATCCTATAAAAGTAGACAAACAAACAATTATGTCAAACGATATGTGACAGTTCTGGCTTCGTACAAAATTAGTGTCATTCGTATGAGAAAAGTACTTGTGTTCCATATGAAATTCCCAGGTCTCTAACGAATTCCCTTAGACTTATTTGGGGATTTACATGGACATAAGCCAACATAATAATATTATCTTCCGTTCTTGCACGGCGATGTCTTCTTACAGAATGTAGTGGCGTCTGGATAAACGCTGAAATACTTCTCTGGAGTAGCGTATTCTACGAGGGTATCGCAAAGCGTATTGCTATAACGGCATTTTTCATTTGAATTTCAATTTTTTAACATTGAAAATACACTGCCAACATATCATACGCTTGCACATTCGTAAAAGGCATTTTCCTTGTTCACAAGTACTTTTCCAACCCAAATAAAACTAATTTTGCACGTAGCAAGAGCTGTCACATTTCGTTGGCATAATTTTTCAGTTGCCTATTTTCATAGGGCACAGCCTGCCTCGTTATGGAAACAATAATCTTAATAACTTCTCAGATATTTGGCATTAATAAAAAAATGAAACATTGCAGATATCAAAAAAATTTCAAAATAATGCAATAATTCTTTTTAAGGACAAGATTGGAATAGTTTTACAATTTAATTTTGCCTTGGATTATGTCAATGTTATTTAGAGAACTAAATAAAGGAGGATGTTCTAGCACAACCTCACTATTTTAATAATAACTTGAAAACGAAAAAAGATATCGACCTCCGGTTTGTGTATTTGTTTTCCATAATGAATGGTCTATCAAGCCATGAAAAAGCCTATATCGTTGCATTTAATTTTTTAGTAAACGAAGACAATTACAAAAATTTTCTCAGTAGCGTCGTCTACCGTTGCGCAGGAAAATAATATTTTTATTCCTATATCATAAAAGTAAATTTTATTAATAGTTCTTTAAAATGAGCTATCGTTTATTGAAATCAATTAAGACATTCAGACGTAATGGCAATTTAAAAATTTCAAGATAGCGTCCTTCATACTGACGTTGCCATGGTAATAACAAATAAAAGTTCAAACAAAACTTGTGAAGGGTTTAACAGTGTATCTAAAAAATGTATTTGCAAATTAGTTTATATAAGCGAAATTTCGAAAAACCGACAATTTTCTGTAACACTATAGCAGTTGCGCTCCCTAGCGGTGAAGTTACAAACTTGAAAATATTTTAAATCAATTTCTTTTGGTCGTATTTGTTAATATATTTTTTAACCCCATAATCGTAGCACGTCTAGTTTTCTATATACAGCCGCTCGATACCATTAATGGATCACCCTGTATAAAACGAACAGAAAATGAAATTTTGAAACAAAAAAAAGGTTAGCAATTTGTTTAAATTAACACCAATTTATATTATTTATACCTATCCACTTTCAACGTATTGTTCCGTTTTTTAAATTACAAATTTTCCATTATTATTAGTTTTTGCATATCTATTCTACTTTAAAGGTATTAATTTGAATTAGCATAACATTATTACTATTTTTCTTCTTTCAATTTAATATTTTCAAGCGTCAGATTAAAAGTAATTATGTTCCATTTGTTTGAACTGCCCATTTTTTACCTGAAAACGTCTAAAAGCATTTATGGCTTTACTGATTAAGTTAATGTCATCACGCCCACATAAGTAACCTAAAGGCCTGGATCCTATAATGGGCGCAGTTATCTATGGCCTGCGGCATGTTGAAAGCTATTTTCGAAAGCCAAGATTAAATAATTTAATTAAAAGGACAATAGACTTTTACTCGTAATAGTTACAAACTTTTAATAGTGCCAAAGGAGTTATTTATATAACAAACTGTTAAAATGTGGTTGTTCTTAACAGAGAGAAAAATCAATAAATTAAAATTAGGATCTTTAGGTTTTTATTACCAACAAAATCAGACGATTTGAATGTATCTGTCTATAGACAAATTAATGCACGAAGGGTAAAGTTAAACTGTTGTCAGTTATTTCCAAGAAATGAAAACTTGCCAGTACAAAAGTGAAAATCTTGAGTATATATCTCAAAATTCACATAATCAAGCTGATCCGTTATAGATAATGAAGGTATACAGGGTGTAAGAAATTTGACTGCCATTACTTCAGCATGAGAAGAACAGATCAACGGTTACTAACTTTGTCACAAAATGTCAATACATATCTGAAAAGCTTGACCGTCAGAGTCAAGTGGATACTAACTTCTCTAAGGCGTTCGACAGACTCGACCACGGAATTTTATTGGATAAATTAACAACGTATCTCAGCATACCAATGATTAATTTGTTAAAGTCATATCTGCAGAATAGATACCAATTTGTTCAATTCCGGGAGTATAAATCTGAAAAGTTTCAGCAAAGGTTGGGTGTACCACAAGGATCTATTTTGGGCCCGTTATTGTTCGTAATGTTTATTAACGATATAATTGCGAATGTTAACTGGGTACACTGTTTGTGGTATGCTGATGATCTGAAATTATTCACAGAAATTACGTCTGAATGTGATTGTGCTCTACTTCAAAAAGCAATAAATATGATAGCTATTTGGTACAACCAAAATAAATTACCTCTAAATGCAGATAAATGTAATGTAATGTCTTTTACACGTAAAATTAACTACATCAAACATAACTATTACATTGATAGTTCTATGTTGCAAAGGCCTCAGTACATAAAAGATCTTGGTGTTGTTTTCGATGCTAAATTAAATTTTATAAAACACATTGACATAGTTGCATCATCTGCTTATAAATTTTTAGGTATTATTATACGTACTTCTCAAGGATTCCGCAGCTTACATACTATGAAATTACTTTATGAATCTTTTGTTAGGTCGAAATTGAAATATTCATCAACTGTTTAGAGTCCTTTTTATAGTGCACACATTGAATCTTTAGAAAAGTTCAAAGAAATTTTTTTAAATTTGTCGTATTTAAGCTTGACGGAATATATCCTGAAAGAGGATATCCACATAATGCCATACTTGATCGTTTTCATTGTAATGAGTTAAAAACACGTAGAATTACACATCAGATTGTTTTTTTACATAAAATACTAAACAACTTAATTGATTGCACCTGGTTACTGAACAAAATTCAGATCAAAGTTCCTAGGCTTTCTTGCTTGCTAAGAACTAACATTATGAAAGTATCTCCTTTATATCAGATGATTGTCAACTATTGCAATGTTGAGAACAGGTTAGATATATTTTTTTGCACTATTAATGAAATTAAAAAACGGATTCTTTACTGTTAATTTATAGTTTTAATACTTTATTTTTGTTTTTACTATTTTATTGATTCGTGTTTATCTATATGTATAAGTGTATGTGTGTGCATATGTATCGATATTTTTATATATTTATTTATGTGTGATGATTTTATATATTTTATATCTACTATAGTTTTGCTGGTCTAATATATATTTTTCTGTGTGTATATTATGTATGTACATATATTATATTATGTCTACTATATTTTGTGCTGGTATATTGCCATGTTCAATTATTATTATTAATTCTATTTATTCACATATATTTTCGAATGCGTTGCGTGTTGCTGCACTGACTTTGTATGCTGTAAATGGGCATTTGCCTGTTGGATATGTAGTGAAATAAATAAATAAATAAATAAATGGGATAGAGTAATCATAAATGAACAAAAAATTGTATATTACAGGAACGTAAAATTAACAGTTTTCAAAATACAGCGAGAATTAATATTGGGGAGTTTCCTCACAACATGACAACAGCGCTTAACTTAACGCTACACAGCTGGTGCATACCACGTGTGCACGCAGCAGACTTGTCCTACGAAAAAAATGTAAACAAAGAAAAGTAATAAATATTGTATTTTATGGTATTCTATGCACGCAGTTATGTCAATATTTCTTACTTAATCGAACTTTTGTACATCAAGTTGGAGATTTTGATTTTTTTTTTCTCGGAAATGGTTGAGTCTAGGACCCACATCATATAAGTTTTTTTTTGTTTATTTTATTGTATTATATCGTCTGTTAAAATTAAGGCAGTCAAACTTCTAACACCCTGTAGAAAAGAGATTGACTATTGCCTAGGAGTTACTGTTTTTTATTAGGTACTTATTTAGCAGTCTATTTATTAATTATTATTATTATTAGCAAACAGTTATTGATATTTGAATACAAAATAATAAGAATATTTTAATTAACCATGAGAACCAGATCAACAGCACATGCATTCACCCTGGTTTTGTTTCAGATTCGGAGCCGGGTTCTGCTTCACTGTCGTCTACGCCGCATTACTAACCAAAACAAACCGGATCTCCCGCATATTCAATGCCGGAAAACACTCGGCGAAGAGACCCAATTTTATTTCACCGAGATCTCAACTCGTTATCTGCATGGCGCTGGTGGGCTTTCAGGTAAATATTTGTCCTGTTCCCGGTGTGGTTTCCTTTCCAATTGGTAGTGAGAACTTTTCCAATTAAGAAATTAAGTAAAGGAAAATAATTAAAGTTTTTCCTGACTAGTCTTCTATAACATTTAATCCCCGACAACAAATATTTATGCTGAAAATTACATGTACATATACAGTGTGTTTCACTTAAAGTATATTTAGGATGGCGTTGGCCGATTTCTAAATTTCTCTTTTTTATATGGTAATACTCAAAAAGGCTTACTTTCTGATATTACATTTTTTGACATGTGATCCTTTCTACGGCCTACTATCATTAAGAAAAAACCCCAAAAATTAAAAAACATATTAGGCATTTTTTTAAGAAAGAAATGGATAGCACTTTCGATATGATCACACCTATACAAAGTTTCATTATGATAGCTTTTACAGGGTGTTCACAAAATAGGTGGAAACTGAAAAATTTCGCTCACAATAGTACGTATTAATATTTTTGTTTTTTTTTTCTATTATGTCGTTTATATGTAAAATGACAGATATTACACAGAGTGTCCTAGAAATAAGTGCCAAAATTTTACCATTTATTTAACGCTTCAATAGCAACAACGTTTATTTAATCTTATTATTGAAAATCTCTTTGTTTCTCTCTCTCAAAAATCTCATTTTTTTAACTTAGTGCTTGATAGATGTAATAATAAACAAAAATACTTTTTCTAGTATTTATCATTTAGGCTAGCAAAAATGTTTAGTGATTTCATAAAATATTATTATTTACTTTATATTTGGTGAATTAAAAACTTGATTAAAATTTCGACACTTATTTCTTGGACACTATATATTCGTAATTCAAAATTCCATTGATGCAACTAAAACAATTATTTTTTTGTGTCTTTATTTTGTCCCATTTAAATATCTTAATAAAAGGGAAGTAAATTGCATGTAAATAGGAATTTTAGAAACGTTTTTGAAAGGCATTATATCTCACAACCTTTACATATGACTATCGGGTTTGTAGTTTCAAAACTGCATCTTCATGTCAACATGGGATTAAAATATGATGAAAATATAGCAAAGTCTGTCAATTAACATACCTATACATATTAACAAAATTACTTACGTATATCTAATATTAAAGCAAGTAGGTATAGTCAAATACATAAAATAATATAATATTTTTTGTACTGTGTGTTCTTCGCATTGACTCTAAATGAATTGTTGATAAAAGTTCATCAAAAGCATTCACTTTTCATTCCTTTCACACCATTTATTTGTTGTCTGTAAACCTTTTATTTCATATAAATTAGGTACTTAGTTTTTGCAAATGATATAATAAACGTACATATCTATCAGAAAAAAATATATGTATACCTGGTGGATTTACTTATTCTTTTTGAGCTTTTCTTCGGAAATGACTTGGCGAGTTTTAACAAGAGTATATTTTTTGTATAGAATTAAAAAGTACATGTAAAAATCGACGTCCTGTGTAACTTATTTAAAAGTCTATCAACTCAGGCTATTTCCCAAATCAAACTCCTACCAAAGTGTTATTAAAAAAATTACTGTAAGTGAATAGTTATAGATAAACAACATTTGATTATCTGGGAACCATTATAAATCAAAATGGAAAATAGATTTGAATATACGTACGTTGCCATTCATATTTCGGGAATAGAGAACAAAAAAGAAATTAATCATCGTATATTGTTTTTCAAAATATTCTTCATGAAGATCAATACACTTTTACATGCTCATGAATTTTCGAAGTACTTTTTCCATTCGAATTGAGGTAGGTACCTCCAAAACATGCATTTTGAACGCATCAACCGCTCTTCAGGCGGCGAAAACGTTGACCTCATAACTTATTTTAATGTGAGGGAATAGAAAAAGTCACTGGGTGTTAAATCATGGATGTACAGTGGATGACTTATCAATTCGACTTTTTCAGTTCTTAAAAAGTTTGATGCTTGAGCCGATGTGTGAGAGCTCGCATTGTCCTGGTGAAAAATTATGCGTCTTCGGTGGTTAATTTCCCTTATTTTTCCAAAGACTTCTGGCAAACAAATGGTTGGGACCATTCTGAATTAAACGTCTGACGTTGCATTAAGAAGTGCTTCATGCGCGAACAACTTTTGTTGGATTTGGCTCATCTTGAAAGACCTATACAGTTGACTGCTGTTTACTGTTGGGCTCATACGCATAGATCCATGATTCGTTACCTGTTACGATGCCATAGACGTGTTTTGAAGCACCGCGATCGTATTTCTCGAGCATTTCTTCAACCAATCACACCAAATTATGTGGGATTCAACGCGAACATTTTTTTTTGGCGGCCAAACGTTCATGCAATATTGAATGTATGCTGGTCCCTCTACTACCAAAAGACGCCCCAATTTCACGATCTTGCAATATCAGTTCACGAACAGCATTAATGTTTTCTGGAAGACCTTCACGAAATTCATCAGTGAGCAAACCACAATTACGATTGAATTCCGTATACCACCGATATACAGTGGTTTTTGATGGTGCTTCATCGCCAAAAGCCGAATTAAGTTCACTATTGTTGAGATAATCCACGTCGAAAGTTATAAAATCCATTTTTTGACTAAACTGATTTTTTCAAATCACTGTAAAAAACACAAATAGCGCTTGTACGTCAAAACGTTCTAAGTAAGTATACCAACAAAAAGTCGAACTTTACGATAGAGACGTCGGTTTTCAGTCGGTTTTCAGTTGGTAGCACCAGGATCGCCCATTCTCACAATATAAAAGGCGACCCTCGTAAAAATAGAACAAATAAGAAAAATAATATATTCGGAAAAGATATATACAAGAAAGAAATATAAAAGACATATTCGGTATATTCGGAAAAGAAATAAATACAAATGAGAAATATAGTCGAGGGTCGGGCGACCTGGAAGGAATGGATTAATACTTTAAAGACACCTAATATGGGTAATAGAACATCTGAAAAGAAGAAATACGTACGATCGGTACCTTGAAAATAAAAGACGATAGACCTACAGTTCATATATTGTTATTGGTATATTAAATCTTCCTATTTAATATTCTGCTATATCTTTTGCTTACGGTGCCTTATTTTGAAACATCGTGTATGCTCTTCAAGACATGATTATCAATGCAACTTGAGACGCGAGGAGAATAAGTCGATTCAAAACGTTAGTTAAAATTAACATGACCTGTAAAAAAAGCCTGCAAATAAAAACGAAAAAGGTCTATATTAAATATCATAATAATTAATATCTTTAATTAATTTTCGTGTATGAATCATTAACTGATTTGAAATAAATTAAACAATTTCCAGAGCCACTTAACTTATTTTTCTTATAACTTAATTAATTAAAAAAAGGGAAAATTCATTTTGAAAACTCATTTATATGTAGATACTGAGGCTTCGTGACATTTTTATTCATGAAAATCGTTATGGCTCTTAGGCGGCAGTAAAAGTTTAAGTATAAATTAAGAATTTGAGATGCTGGCAAATATACTATAAAAAAGTCTCCAGTGATAAATTTTTAACTGTTCAATGGAAATTTATTTTAATAATTTAAAAAACGTTTTACACGGAGCTAAAGAGTTATTATTATCTTAAGACAATGGATCACTTCTAATTCCACTAATTTTTTTAGAAGATTTGTCTAATTTTTTTACATCTATTTCATTATTTTTGTCCAGCAGCCAGTAGTACAATAAGACATATAATAAATGTTCCTCATTCTGAATCTGGATGCTTCCGGAACAGTCTATATACAGGGTGTATTTTAAATAAACATAACTGTAAAGGCATCTTCCTTTAACCATTTTATATCAAAAAGTTTTAAGGCGTCGTTTATATGCGCAATTTTTGTCCAGCATTTTAAAAAATCTAAGTTTAGAAATAATACTTCTTCACTATACCAGTTAAAAAGTTTTTATACAGGGTGATTCATTAATAATGGGACAGAGCTTAAGGGCATGTTGCTGACCTCAAAATAGAGCGATTAAGCCAAATATGCCTGATCTGAATGTTGCTCCTTTTCGATCTACAGGATGTTAAAGTTGAAAATATATTTTCGATTTTTTTAAATATCTTGAGCATCTTTAAACGGATTGTCTTGAAAATTTGTACACCTATGTTTTCTGAGGTGCTAATTACGGAAATGGTAACTATTTTGCAATCACATCTAGGATGCGCTAGTTGTAGTGTTCCGTCGGAGTAAACATATGTCAAACATTTTTGTCCTTCAAAAATCTGAATTTTCAATAAGAAATTATTAAACTACGTTCAATTCTAAATAATAAAGATATACCTGTTAAAAATCAATAAACTTAACCGTTTTCGAAATAAGAACGATTTACTATTTCTTTACAAAATTATTTGTTTGAACGTACGCCTTTAAATAAGATGACTTTAATGAAGTATGCCGGTGTCAATGAAATGTCATGTATTATTTATGTCAATTCTAAGAAACTTATAAATACTAGACAGTTTAGTTCTTCTTCGTTTGTGATTTTTTTTTATTAAAATGCCGCGTCATAATGATTATTCGTTTGTTGAAATGGGAAACATGGTATGTGTGTATGCACAGGAAAATTATTGTGGTCGTCATGCAGCAGCGAGGTACTTGTAGTTATATTCAAATAACAGACAACCTAACCACAAGCTTTTCAAGACGTTGTACGACAGATTAGGAGAAACGCGATCATTTCGCCTATACCCGTGTTCACCGAAATTTTTTAGCCTAAAATGACCTCACCTATACACTGCTAAGGTTTAATATTACTAAAATCTAAATCTATTTTTTAATTTGTATTACTTTTCAGCCTCATGCCATAACAACAATATGATAAAGCGCGTTAATGAATAACATAAAATGTGAACAGGTAATTAAATTCAGAAGTATAATTGAAAATTACGAAATTATAATCGGGTTATTAGTTGCAAATCACAATATATAAAGCAAATTGTAAATCTAAATATATTATTCATGAACTCATATTGATTGATGT